AACAATTTCCGACCGTTTACAAGCAATGGGAAAGATTTAAAGGAAGGAAAACAGGTGCCACATCAGCTGAACCAAAGACAAATGGAAAACCGAAAAGTCACCAGTAAAATGTTGCTTCAACGGCACGAAAGAGACTTTTTTGCATCGAATTGTGACTGGCGATGAAAAGTGGATTTATGTTGAGAATCCCAAATGCACAATATTATGGGTTGACCCAGTTCAACCATCAGCATCGACTGTAAGGCCAAATCGCTTTGGAAAGAAGACAATGCTCTGTGTTTGGTGGGATGAGAAAGGTGTGGTGTATTATGAGCGTCTAAAAGCAGGTGAAACCGTTAATACTGATTGCTACCGACAACAAATAATCAATTTGAACCACGCTTTGATCGTGAAACGACCAGAATGGGCCAGAGGACACGGCAAAGTAATTTTGCTTCATGACGACGCACCAGCACACACTTCAGAACCAGTGAAAGACAGGTTAGAAGATCTTGCTTGGGAAGTATGAACCCACCCGCTGTATTCACCAGCCCTCGCTCCTTCAGATTCCCACTCGTTCCGAGCGATGTCCCACGCACTTTCTGAGCGGCATTTCAAAACATACGAAGAAGTGGACAATTGGGTCTCCGAATGGTCTGCCTCAAAACAAGAAAAGTTCTACTGGGACGGTCTCCACAAGTTACCGGAAAGATGGGGAATGTGTAGCCAGCGATGGACATGACTTTGAATAAAGCACTTTTGATGGTTCTCTTGAATTATCGTGTTTTCTGCATTATTAGCCAGTACCAGTGTATATCCTCATCTAGAACACTGGAGGTGGGATGAGGAAGGTGTGGTGTATTATGAGCGTCTAAAAGCAGGTGAAACCGTTAATACTGATCGCTACCAACAACAAATAACCAATTTGAACCATGCTTTGATCGTGAAACGACCAGAATGTTCCAGAAGACACGGCAAAGTAATTTTGCTTCATGATGACGCACCATCACACGCTTCAGAACCAGTGAAAGACATGTGAAAAGATCCTGCCTGGGAGGTATGAACCCCCCCGCTGTATTCACCAGCCCTCGCTCCTTCAGATTCCCACTCAATCCGATGGATGTCCCACGCACTTTTTGAGCCGCACTTCAACACGTGTGAAGAAGTGGACAATTGGGTCTCTGAATGGGCTTCCTCAAAACAAGAAAAGTTCTATTGGGACGGTCTCCATCAGTTACCGGAAAGATGGGGAAATGTGTAGCCAGCGACGGACATGACTTTGAATAAAGCACTTTTGATGTTTCTCTTGAAATTATGGTGTTTTCTTTGATTACAAAATCCGCATTATTAACCGATACACCTGGTATATACTGAAGGTTTTTCTCAGGTAACACAGCCCTGCGGTTCGGAGGCAGCGGCTCCCTGCAGCCTCCTCCCAGCGGCCCTTCCTGTGGGAGCGGCA